AGTTCTTTCAAGGGGCTCTCAATTGTGGGTGCCACACAAAGTTCGATCAGGTCATCAAGTTTCTTCTTCGCTACATACTCCAGAGAAGGACGGCCGCTGCTGAAGAATCGGGCGTCAGGTGCTTTTTTTATTTGCTGCGATTCTGGGAGCGCGAATAATCCATAGAGACATATCAAATGTGGATAATCGGACTCTTTGACTTGTGAGGGATTAAGCATCCCTCTTCTAAAACGGGAAGCCTTGTAAGAGATTCACAATTGCCACTCACGTTGGGAAGTCCTCTATTTTCCTATTTGGAAATACGTCAGATGAATCTGCTCTGAAAAATCCGCAAACAGATAACAGTCTGCAGGAATCCAGTCTCACTTCCATTCCTCCATAACCGACTGAGAAAGTTCAGCGATAGCCAATCCAGTGAACACTGTCTCTTCCAGAAGTCGCTTCAGTTTCGCAACATTCACTCTAACGTCTTCGTCTATTTCGAGGTGTTCCCCACCGCTCTGCGACACCTTGATGAAGTCCCTCAACAACAGCCGCGCTCGCAACTTGGACCCAGGCCCAACAGAACACTTCCAAATGTTTTCAATGACCGTGAAGTAATTCCTGAAGTGGAAACATCAGAATTCTTCTTCCATCGAATCCTACTTAGCGTCCGATCGGGCATCTGACAACCAGAGCGGCTGAGCACCTCTGGAATAGATTTCATAGAGAACTGAGAACATGGTTTCATTGAACGATTACTTCTCATCCACAATGTCGGACTTAATCTCCTCGATTGCAGATTGAACGCGAGGGAAATCGGTCTCCAACAAGAGTGTCAGTGTCTGCAAAGATAATTTCTTGACGAGATTCAAGAATGAGAACTTGCTTTTTTTGCTTCCTGATCGCGGTGTCCCCACTTCCATCTTTGATGAGGTTGATGAGAAGCTCTCTAAGCCATCAGAGACCATTTTTCCTGTTTACAGAAGGATCAAAAAGGGTTCAATCATTCCGACTTACTTTTGTACCCGCAACATTCAAGAACTCCTTCACTAGAATCAATTCTAAGTCGTTAAAATATCTAAGCTTGTTGGACTTGAGGTGATGAGTGGTATCAACGTTTTTCTAATCTGGGGGAAATCTCTCGAGTCATTGGCGGATCTTTCCATTAGAGTTCTGGAGAAGTTCGGTGCGCTGTGCGACCATCGTTGAATCACATCATTGGATGGTTGAAGACTGCCTAGAGTTTCAAGGTTTGTTTGAGTCGCTCAAGAAAGAATGTCATTTACTGGCAAGTCAATGCAGTACACGAGTCAAGAATGTCTCATAGATGGTCCCTAATTGGTGTTATTTTGGCGTTTGCGGTACCACTCCATTTTGATCCAACATGAATGCTGTTCGCTTTCGGCTGAATATTAAGCCTATCAAGTAGATGTGAACTTTGATGGTGAAAGAGACGAAGAGCAAGGAGCTTATTGCTAAAAGGTTTGAGCGAAGCCACAGATGAAGTTCTGCCATGGGTGGAAATAAGGAACAGGGTTGGTGAACACTGTGGTTTACAAATAGGCTTCTTCAAATGTCTTGTGTTCCCCATGGGTGTACAACACATAAAAAAAGATCGTGCATGAAATGAAAAGAGCCATAAGAAGCGACCAAACGACTGCAAGCAAGAAAAAACGGGAAGAATCCAGAGGGGGAGAAAGATGAACAATTTAGATATGCTTGCACCTTGGTTTCGGAACGACTGACGTGAGTGTGATTGTTCCCTGCAGGGGGTTCAGAATGTGGGGCGTCTCCTACAACGATCCATTAGGTTTGTTAGAGTGCCCAGGAAAAAGAATTCAAGGACATCTTCATAATCGTTACAATTCTCAGCTCAATTCAAATCCCATTTACTGTGGTGCGACTGAGGTGTGACTGATGTTCATTCTATTTCATCCAAACAGATCCTACGCTGTCACTATTGCTCTGGCAACAGACTCAAGCTCAAAGTCTGGCGTCGTCTCGTCTTCAACGAAGTTATTCATCAGAAAGCTTGATAGCATAGCAAGAGCAGTTGATGGTTGGTCCCTACAGAGAGATCGATTCCTATCCGTCGATTGCCAATTCCGGACTTACATTGGAACCATATGCCCCGCATCATACACAACCAAAAACGTTAGATTTTCAACTTGACGCATTTTTCCAACTTCTTTCCCGTCAATATTCCAGGGTTTGAACTGGATTAAGAGCGAATAAGAAGATGGATGCCTGTTCGTGCACTCACATCTTTCGATGTGAAATCATCCTGATGATCCCACTCAATGTTTTCGACCCACGCTTGACCTCCACGCCAGTTGCAAATGAAATCTTGGTTACCGCTATAAACAAGAACCTTCTTGCCTTCCGACAGCAGCTCCCCAACTTTGGTTCTCGTTCTGAAGAAGTTGTGGTTCATCGTCATCCAAAGCACTGGCCTTACTCAGTCACCCAATCTCCGAGCATCAGCGCGTAGACCAATGCATTACACTCCTTCCATGGTTTATGAACTCCCAATGCTGTTTGGACCGAATCAAGATTCATGAAAGAATCGAGAGCCGTTGTGTTGTAACACAGAGGAGGAGTCTGCAAATGAAGCCACTGATATTTCGTATAGAGTTGAATCCCACCTCGCAGTCAAGGCGAACGTCGTAGGGATTCTTCTTTCCCAGCAAACCATTGACAATAGAGTTACATTGAATGACAGCTAGGGGCCATAAACCGTTATCAATTAATTTTGTACAACCTTCAAGTCCCTTGCGCGCGACTTCGTATCCAATTCGCCCAATCATGTTGTGCTCAAAATGCGAAGTCCGCATAAGCTGGATATTGCTGCAGACCAAACAATGTAGCTGTCCAACAATAAATACATTGAATATGATTGAAAAAATAAATAGACAAAAATAGAAAGTCCTGCAAATAATGAAGCATACCGAACGAGGATCCACCCAGCCATTTCCGATAGCAACTCCTTGAAGGTTCAAACCCTCAACAGGCTTCTTCAGCAAAAGATGGGCAACGGACGGGATGTAGTGACCAGCGTAGGACTCGCCAGTTATATAGAAAGGTCTAGCAGGCAGCTGAAGATTCTATTCACAAAGCCGTCACGCACCTGTTCTTCAGTTGTGGATACAGATCGATGAATTGCTCTAAAAACTCGCGCATATCTGACGCAACCGTTTTTTCATTTGTAACGTAATTGCTGGGATTCCCAGTCGATGAAAATCCTGTCCCAAGTGGCTGGTCGATATAGGCGACATCAGCGACGTTTGACCTGAGCGAGTCATACTTCTTCGAAGCTTTGACTACTTCTACTAGAGGGGCAACTCACCATGAATACGGATTGTTTGTAACAGTGACATCAGGTTGAATCCTGAAGAAGGCAAGTGATCCAAATAGATCCAATAGAGTGAATTATTGTTGGATCAGCAAGACGCTTCGACTCACGTTAAGGGACCATTCTCAGTTAACGCTGCAAGTTCAGATGAACACCCTGGGCCTGATCAATAAATGACACCTGTTTATTCTAACATGGAGAAGTAGTGCTGACCTCCAGTTAGCCAAATAATGAATGGAGAGTTGGCGGTTTGTTTTTCGTTGGGAAAATACCAATAGAACATTTCTCCTCCCTCTTTCCCAACATCGACGTATCCGCTGTGATACTGAACTCCAATGAATGGATCGGCTTGTGGTCCTTGTGATAAAAACTTCCTCTTTGTTTCGTGTTTGGTTGCGCTACCATGAAAATCATATGAATACAAGTGCGCAAAAGCGCTAAGAGGAAGCGCAAGCCAAAGGAAAGAGAGAAACATTGTACTGAAGGCAATCGAGTTGCTGCGTTAATCTGCCGGTACGTCTCGCAACATGAGGTGTGCATTTGTTGTATTGAGAAAAATCCTTGTGGGGAGAAGGTTTCCTATGAGTGCCATAGGATCGATTTTTGATTCTTTCTTTAGTGTTTGGTTTGGTGTGTTCCATAAGACTGAAGGTTGCATACAACACGAAGCGATACACACTTGAACCTTCCAAAACGCTCAATTGATTATTTCGAACAGACCCACTTCGATAGAACGACATTCAATCGTCTTTAGCTCTGTCAAGAAATAAATTTGGGCAGCTCAAAACAGCAGCCAGTGCCTAGTGCCTTAAGACGCTAACAATGAAGACATATGTGACCAGTTTCATTCTTTATTTGTTTTAGCACGTTGCAGAATGGCGAAAACGAATGAAGTAGCGCATCGGCAACTAGAAACGATAGACCTCTCGGTCGACGCTTTAATTGTTGAAAACTTCAAGTCCTACAGAGGCCGCCACGTTATTGGTCCATTCAAGCACTTCACTGGCGTTGTTGGTCCAAATGGGGCGGGTAGGGGTCTTTCCAACGAGCTTCTAGTACAGAATTTGGTTTTCAGGAAAATCGAATTGTATGGATGCTCTGTCATTCGTTCTTGGGGTTCACGCCAGACATATGAGGGGGTCAAGGCTCTCAAATTTGATTTATCGGCCATCAGATCAGAATATTGATAATGAAGAAAACGAAGTGACTCTCAACGCACCAAAATGGTAACCAAGAATTGAAAGGCATTTCATCCTGCATTTCTGGTGTAGTGCTAGCGTCACGCTGATACTCCGACGCCATTCTTCACCGACGTCAATTTCATTTTGTCGTAAAATTGTTAGAAATGGAGCCCAAAGCATCACCCAAATTGATGACAAAGTAGGGAAAACAGAAATTGAATTCTTGTTACTCTTTTTGCCGAAAGACCGTTTCAGCTGAAGAGTATCAACGACGTCTTGCCGAGTTGAACATTCTAGTGAAAGCCAGGAATTTCCTTGTATTTCAAGTCAGTAGGCGACATTCACTTGAAAGAGTTTAATCTTTTCAGGGCGATGTGACTGACGTGGCGCGAAAAAAATCCTTCAGATTTAGAGAAGTTGTTTGAAGAGATTTCTGGATCGTGAGTTTGTGATTTTGATTGGTGGCAGTGAGCCATTTCATCCAGAGCCGCATTGAAAGATGATTATGAAAAGTGTGAGGATGAAGTTAAGAAAATCACTTCGGAATTGAGGCAAGTGGATACTGCAGTGCAGACTGCAGAACACTCCAACGCAGGCACGAGACTTTGAATCGTCAAAGATCTGATGCTCAACGTCAAGATCTTGAGAGACAAGCAAGTCGCTCTTGGTTGGATCTTCTGCAGTAATGTTGATCATCAGGTTGCTGAAGTGAAAGAATATCGGGAATTGGAGCAAAAGCTTGCGGACGCAAGAAGCTTGTTGCTTGTGTACCGATTGTATGTGAACGAAGTTAGAGCTGGAGAAACACAGCAAAAGAATGAGGCGGCGCAAAAACAGGCAGAAGATGCTGAAAAAAAGAATGAAACTCAATTAAAGAAAATTCGAGAAGTAAGAAAAGATTAAAATGATCATACATGATGCTTTGCAGCTCGATGCCGAAGTCCAGAAGCAGACGCTGGAAAAACAAAGACTTGTACAAACACTGGAGCAAACAGGGAAACTCACTGCAGATCTTGTAGGTTTGAGATTTGTACGATTTTTGTGTGGCTTGCACAAACATTCATGTCACTGTAGGAAGCGGAAATTCAAAAGCTGGAAGAAAGAGTGAATTACGAAAAAAAAAGGCGTGTGGAGTTGCAGAAGTCTCATGACCAGAAACACGTTCAGCGAGAAAAAAAAGAACAAGAACTGGAAGAAGTGAGTGATTCCGCCAAAGTGGCTTTTCTATCGAATTCAGTGAACAGTAGTAAGAACAGTCCATTATAGAGCAAAGAAGAGCTGGTTGAAGTTGAAACGAGGCTTTCTGAATTGGAGGAAGAGAAAGAAAAAGCAAAATTGAAAGAAGTTCGATTCACATCAAAACAAAAAATGGAATATCAGCGGTTGAAACAGCAAGCATCTGCGATTGCAGCGGGGCTAAAAGCGAGCGTCACATCATGGGAGCGGAAGGAGAGTACTCTTGTAGAAAGGCTGAAGGAGGTAAGCGATACAATTACATGACGGACGGATGTTCTTGTTGCAGGTTGAAGAGAATATCGCTGAGGCTGAGCAGCAAAAAGGGAAAGCAGAAGAGAAGGCAGCAACATGCAAAGAATATTTGGGAAGGCGGAGCAAGGATTTGAGATGTGCCCGAATGAATTGAAGCAGAAGAGAGTACTTCTAGAAAAAGAGAAAAAAAGGCTTGATGTAAGAGAATGGAGTTAAAAGAATCTTTTTCATTGAAGTTATTTTAGAAAATGAAATACGATATGGAGCAATTGATGGACGAACGACGACAGATCGAATTTCAAATCAGTCGGATGAACGCGGGAAGAGTAAGCAATAGTTTTTTACAGAGAGTCAAACATTTGATGGTGTTGAATTTCGGTTTCAATTTCTAGAAGATTCTCATTTTATGATTTTCAGACGGAGCTTGGTCGGTTGAACAAGCGACGTGAAGTGATCAATGAATTGAAAGAAGCATTTCCGAATTCAATTTTTGGGCCAATGAATGAATTGTTTGAACCCTCACAAAGAAAATATGCAGTTGCAGTCAACGCAGCGCTTGGTAAATTCGCTGAATGCATTGCCATCGATACATTTGAAACAGGAAAGGTAAGAATTGAGGAAATATTGAAAAACAGTTCGACGTCCTGCATAGCCATTCAACCTTGATGATCTAAAACGAGTAAGCACACTCAATTTGTATCTTGTTTCGCAGAAAGCTGTCGACTATTTACGACGACGGAAAAGACCTCCTCTCGAGTTCGCTCCTCTTGATAGTCTTTCGCGCGCTTCAGTCGATCCCCGATTGTATTCGTCGTCTCTTCAACGTCTATGCAAATCTTCCCTTGATTGTATTCAATACGATCCGATGTATGAACCTGCCTTCAGAGTGAGACATTGGATTTTTCAAATATGGAGGAGAATTGTGTTTGACAGACAGCTTTGCACGATTCGGTTATTGTTGACGACCTTCGAGTTGCTGAACAACTTGCATACGTCGAATGTCCCAAAATGGGCTTGAAAGTGAAAGTAGTGACATTGGATGGTGAAAAAGTACTTAAGAATGGGAACATCACTGTGGATACGGCAGTAAGTCCCAATTCTTAATTCAAGTCCCAATTTTTAATTCTAGTCATCATTCAATCATTTTGTCAGCTTCGTCACAACAATCGAGCAGATGCTCAAGAATTAAAAGTTCTCTCAAAGCGTTTATCTGAAGTAGAGCTGGCCCTTCGTCGCAAAGAAGATCTGGGCGAATTGAAGCAAAGTGTGGATCAATTGGTTAGAGAGATTGGTGAATTGGAGTCGTCATTGAAGAGAAAGAAGGAGAAAGTTGAAGTTAGTCATTAGAGGAAAGCTTGCATTAGTCTCAATTTCTCAGATGTGGGAAAATAAACAAATAGCATCAACGAAAGAGTTGGAGTGCGCTCAAATTTCACTTGAACGTCAATCACAAGATAAAATAAATATTTCAGAAGAACTTCAAAGATGTCGAGAAGAATTGGAAAAAGTATGTTAGAAATTGTTCCGTTGCAGTTGATTCCGAGGTGCATCTAATTGATTCTATTCGCAGATTCGATCGCAAGTCTTGAGGGTAGAAGATGAAATTTTTGCTCCTCTTGCAGCTGAAGTAAACATCGCAGATTTGAGAAAATTTGAAGAAGAACAGAAAGCCGCCGCTAAAGCAAAGGAAGTAGAGAAGGATCAGCTGGTTAGACGCTTGCAGAAGCTTCGGTGAGAAATGCCTGTTTGATACGAAAACGGAATAAGCCGCATTGCAGATCGACAACCGGTAGACTTGAGTCAGATATCGTGGCATTGGATCCGAAAAGCCTCGAAAAACAAATTAAGGAAATCGACAAGAAATTAAAAAAAGACGTTCAGGCTCTTGAAGAAGCGAAAACAAAAAAAATCGGAATGGAGGTTCGAAATTGAAGACTGTTGAGTAAAAGTTTCATTGGGTTGATTGTTCTCAGAGATCCGCAGAAGAAGCTAAAGAATCTCTAGATCAATTTGCTAAGGGAGAGAAATTGAGAGAAGCGAAAATTAAAGAAGAGAAAGAATTGTTGCGAATAATACAAAAGGAGAAAAATTGGATTAATGGAGAAATTAAACTCTTGGTGAGTGAAAATTATCGAAATTGAAGATCCAGAAGATCCAGAAGCTATTGTGTTTGTTGCTCCTGATAGAACTCCAAGAGTGAAGTCCTTTATAAAGAAGCGGTGGATTTGCTGCGATCTGCACTTCTTGATAATTTGAATATTCCACTTTCGAGAGGAACGCTGCGAGGATATTGTCGACTGTTGGGACTTGAGGATGTCATGAGAGCGGCTGTTGTGTCCCAAACACAAACTCAAGATGAAAACGGCGACGCGGTGATGTCGATAACGGACGGATCAGCTGAAGAGGAAGAAACTCCCGAAATCAACTACGAGAAAGTTTTATCAAGCGAAATTTTGGATGTAAGACGCAAATAGAAGCGCGAAACTTTTGATTTGTTGATCAGAGCTGCAAGAGTTCATCAACTGAGAAGCAAACTGAACGGAGTTTCGAAGACAAAATTACTACCCAACCTGAGGGCCACCGGAAAAATATGATTTAGCGATGGCTGAAGTGAAAGTGAGTGACGATGATCAACGAATTTTGATTTTAGTTGTTCAGGGTGTTGAAGTAAAAATTGCTGGTTTAGAAAAAGTAAAAGAGAAATCGGAGAGGGCTTTCAATAAACTCAGGCGGGAGAGAAGTCGCAGGTTTTTAGAGTGTTTCTACCATGTACAGAAATCCATCAATACGTGAGTGGGACTTGAACTTCTCTTGATGAGGATCCTCCTTTTTGTAGAATTTATAATCGTCTCACTGGGGGGGGATGCAGAAGGATCCATAGGGGGTCAAGCGTATCTCGAATTGGAGAGTGGGACACACGGACATGCTGGAATTGAGAGTTTTTCGAGTGGTATCCTATATAATGTCATTCCCCCGATGAAGCGCTTTAGTGACCTCAAGAGAGTACGCAAAGATAATTCGAGTGTCAATATCGATCGATGATAATTCGAGTGTCAATAGCGAAATACATTTCGATTCTTTTCAGCTAAGCGGAGGCGAAAAAAACGATGGCGGCTCTAGCTCTTCTCTTTTCCCTCCAAACTTACAATCCAGCGCCCTTTTTCGTTCTTGATGAAATCGATGCAGATCTTGATCCCGTGAATTTGGTGTCCCTCGCTCGATATTTAAGGGAAGCTAAGTTTCAAGTTATCGTTATTTCACACTCTGATCGGTAAGAATTGACAAAATTTCCGAATTGCGTATTCTTGAGACCGTTTTCCTTTTCAGAGTGTTCAGTCAGGCTGATGGATTAATTGGTGTGTTCGTCGATCCAACTGAAGAGTCCCTCCGACACGTTGTCAATCGATTTATCTTGCTATCCACATGTTTCTCCAACGCTCGACACTGGTGGATCTTTCATGACCAAACGTCCAATTCCAAATGTCTAGTAATTGACAACTCTTGCAAATCTGTTTTTTTGTCGTGGTGTATGTTGTTTTGCAATTATACGAATCTAGAATACAAACTGATCGCTACTTTGGCTTCTTTATTCCTAATTTTGTTTCGCTAAGAAGATCCTCCTGCTTGTAATAATGAGGAGCGACTGATGCCAACCACTCCGGTTGAACTTCTATAACATTTCGCATAAACTCTTTCGTCGTGAACACTAATTCGCTATAAACAACAAGTCCAGGCCGCACAATCATTTCCTTCTTTTTCTGTCGTTCTTTTGCTTCTTCGTCATTTTTCTGGTTCTCCAATAAACAATGAGCTCTGTGGGTGAACCTGAACCGTATGGGGGTTCGTCAGAGTCCTATAACCTCCATCGCGATTTAATCGAGCAGCCTACAATCGAAAATACTCTTGATGGTTGAACCGCAATTTGAACGTACGTGAGAGAAGAACCCAGAAGTGACTGCTTTTCTAATAGATTCGGAATCACCGCCGGATGAACATTGTTTGACTTCCGTTTTTTCCAAAAGATCCACCAACTGGAAGTAACAAGTATCGATAATCCCACACCATTACAACAGTCCCATCATTACAATAATCCCACATCATTACAATCACTACAATAATCCCACATACAATTGTTTCTACCTTTATCGTCTATATTCTCTACAATTTCCGTACCTGGTCTCGAACGTCTCTTGCACGTTTCATCGAACGATATTGAATAAAATTCTCTCTACAAAAACTGCTCGCTATATTCGGCTCGACTCCCATTCATTATAAACATTCAGAAGCGTCAAATGATCCCCGCCAGGGACGGAAAAAAATTGCGCCTAAGAGATCAAAGAGAACTCCGACATTGAAAATCGAGAAGGGATTGTCTTTACCGTGCGTTGTCCGCTTCTTTTTTCTTGGTCCTTTGGTCGATAAAAAATCGCATTTCCAACACTCAACATTGCAGCAATTGTAACGCATTCATCGACACAGCCGTATTGCTGTGCGTTCACAATCTAAATAAGAACAAAGAATGGATTCATTATTCCAGATATGAACTCTGAATTTTACCATTTTACTGAACATTGGGTCCATTGGGAATTCGGCCATTCGTCGCCCTAATCTCGTCAATTCTCCGTCACTCCCTAGAGCTCCAAGCGCATAGAGAAGCTCAAGCGCTTTGATGAGAGTTTCTGCTGGAGGTGGATCCATAAAGTCGAAGTGAATCAAATCATGAATATCTACAGAATAAGAGAATGAATCAATAAATCGGATTTTCTAAAAACTTCAACCTAAGGCCTTCAATGACAGAACAACACTTCCGAGGTTTGATCGTAAAATTTCAGGGATATTTGAATCTTCTAACTCCTTTTCATAAGACCACTTCGTGTACAAACGAAAGCATTTTCCTGACGAACAGATTACAGATGAGATTTATTCTACTCGAAAGAGGGAAGCAAATGAAAACCAGTTTCAAATCGGAATGGATGCAAACTTACCAGGTTTGACTCTTCCCGCTCTTCCAGCTCTCTGATTTACTGCGGCTTTACTACAAGGAACAATCACAAGAGATTCCATTCCAGTCTTTGGATTGAATGTGTTCTGCTTCACAAATCCTGGATCTATCACATAAACAATGTTATCGATCGTAATTGATGTTTCTGCAATATTTGTCGCTAGAACAACTTTTCTTCTTGCGCCCCCTAAGAACAGACGAATACCATCTTGAGATTCAAAAGTGGCAAGAAAACTCACTGGGTGTTGGATCGAAAATTTTGGCCTGAAGTTCTGATGGCAATGTGCTATAAATCGGTAGAATAATAAGCTCATGCATGGCCGTCATTTGACCTCTCATTCGTAAGCGAAGATCTTCCATCACTTCCTCGATTTCTTGTTGCCCTAAAAAAAAGGTCTGAAATACGCAAGAGTCGTTTCCACACTCACCAGGAAGAAACACTAAAATATCTCCCGATCCAACCGGTTGCGAGAGATGAATTTGAAGAATGGTAACAACTGCAGCGTAACTGCAGCGTCTAGGAAATTCGCTTCTGGAGCTTTTGTATAGTAGAGGGCCACAGGGTGACGACGACCTGGAATTTTGAATATCGGAGCGTCATCAAAATAATCTGAAAACTTCTGCGCTTCAAGAGTTGCAGAGGAAATAACGAGACGGAAATCATCTTTGCGCAGTCGACAAAGATCTTTGACCAAACCGAAAAGGACATCTACATGCATAGAGTACATGATGAATACATGCATAGAGTACATGATTACATGAATACATGATTACATGACTACAGGAATACGTGAATACCTGTGTGGAGCGTGCGTTCATGTGCTTCATCAACCATCATAACAGAATAGGAAAGTAAATATGGATCCGTCATAAATTCTCTCAATAACATGCCATCTGTCATATACTTAATAATCGTCGAATCCGAAGTGCAATCTTCAAACCGAATCGAATATCCAACCTGATGATGATGGAGAGTCTTTCATATCGATGACACTCGAACGAGTACCTCATGTCCCAATTTGACACCCTTCTCTTGCGCAACACGCGCTGAAACTGACATTGCAGCAACTCTTCTCGGTTGAGTGCATCCAATGATTCCAACTTTTGAATATCCCACTTCATCCAAATATTGTGGAATTTGTGTCGTCTTCCCACTTCCCGTTTCTCCAACAACAATGAGAACAGGATACTTCTTTATAGCTCTATTAGAGAAAGATAAAATACACCGATGATCCAATCGATCCATCGTACTTCAACAACTCCTTCCTATACAGATAGACTGGTAACCGAGTTCGCTCTTCCGTAAGAGATTTCGCCTTTGTTTCTCGTTTCTCCTGAATGGAAAAACCAAATGATAAATGGTTACAAACGAACGAATTGTACAAACGAACTTGAAAGGATAGTCCCAAATTCCTACCAGGGCTCTTTTTTCTCTTTCTGCTCGGCTTAAATTGTAATCAGCTTCTTCATCGTCTTCATCGTCTGGCTTGATTTCGGCCATTGTATCCTCACATACAAATTCAATTGTTGCCCCAGTCTCATCCACCAACCCCGAATTGATGTCTTCCTGCGAGACTTTCTTTTTCTTGTAGAATCGATGGTTTTTGCGCTTCAGATATTCTCTCTGCTTCAAGTTGTGATTGCTCACTCTGAAATACTTGCGCCCTCTCTGCATTCTCCCTCCATGGTTGTCGCACAACAGCAAGACGCTTTTCTGTGTCTTCATCATAACTTTCTGGCATGACATAAGCGTCAAGTGACCCTTTCATCTTTCTCTCTTCTCGGACTGTTTTCGCAAGTCGGACGGTTTCTTTGTGAAGTTCGATATCTCGTCTCTCTGCTTTCGTTAACATTCCTTTATCCTCCTGATACAACCAATCACCTGAAAGCATACTTCACTCGATAACTCGGTTTGTTCTACTCACGATCTGCGATCAATTTCTCATGCAATTCGAGCTGCTTTTCCTCCCGCTCCCTCAAATATTTCCGTCTGTGTTCTTCTCTCAATTGCGCCATATAAACAGGATCATCTTTCTTCTTCTCGAACAGCCCTGCCTTTGCTGCAAGAAACGGATCGTCTAAAATCGATTGAGGTTCGGGTGGAGGATCCACCCTCTGTCGCTTCCTTTCTGGCTCTTTTTCTTCTTTTTCTTCATCTTTTGGAAGGGGCAGCCCCAACAAGACGGACGCTAATGACGACGCTGCATCATCTTCAAATTGTCCTTCTAATCGAAGAAGCTCATTCAATCGACCCGCATTGCCATTCGAACGAGTCAAACAGTTCGATACAAGAGAAACGAGATCTCGATCAGAAACTCCAACAATTAAAAGAAGAGCGTTTGAGATTCGGAGCTGTTCTGTTGCTGAGTCCATCGGAGAAGGAGAGTCCAAAAAGGAACAGTGCAAATGGCAAAAGGGGGTGGCGCTCAAACGACGGGCAAGCCCGATCGGGGGAAAAGCACCTCAAAAAGGAAAGAAGGTTTCAGAAAGGGTGAATGGGCGCGCGACAACAAGCATGAAAGTGAGACCTTTTTCAACGGACAGTCCTTCGGAAATCTCTCACTCAGGATTTAAACATTTCTGTGGACAGCTTGATAAAAAAGCTTTGCGAGAATTGCGGGTACTTGAAAAAAGAAGAGGCGAAAACGTCAGATATGAATTTGGAAGAAGAGGAGTTGGAAAGTAACTTATTTTTCCCAAGAGCGTTTCTCAAGGGGCACATTGAGAAGTCAGAAGAACAGAATGGCGGTGGATCTGATGCTACCCCAGAAGAAGAAAGTGTGTCGAGTATCCAGGTTCATGTTGATGATGAACTGCTTGTAGAACTTACAGTAAAACCAAAAGGACATGGCAAAGTTCGTTCTGGATTGGCTCTTCGTTTCAAGAAGGAACTCGAACTCGCAGAACAGAAGCGGGTGCGTCTCGGAGTGCCCACGTAGAATGCAAATCTTGTCTGTTCACACAGCGCGAAAAGGAAGAAGCAGCAGCACAGAAAGACGCCGAGATTGTAAGCCATTAGCAAAAGAGCGCTGCTAGATATTTTCGTGTGCAGAGAGCTCGTCAGGATTTTCTTAGAGACCGCCAGAAAGACAGGAGGAAAGAAACCAGGTAAAGACGGCCGGTCTGCAATTATAGAACTGGCGGTGCTTCAGATTGCTGACGAAGAAGACTAGAAAAGGACAACCGAAAATGGGGTCAATCATAGCTGCGTTAACCTCTAAACTTTTAAAACCGAAATAGACAGTTTTTTGATGAGACGTATGAACCAGAAGGCACAGATTTTTCTTCTTTGAGCAAATGTCCGGAGTCAAAGCGCTACCAACTAAAGGTAAAACTTCGTCCTTTTCATCCAGCATCTCTGCCCCTGCAGTTGTTATCCGATTGCTTCCTCCTACATTGACTGAAGAAACCCTTCTCAAATCAATAGGAGAAGATATTCGATCAAACGTCACTTGGCTGCAATTTATTCCTGGGAAGCGCCGGTATGGTTAATTTTCCACTCACGATCAAATCAGATTGAGAGATGCAAGTCGACGTATTTTCATTCTTGTCATCAGCAAAATTTCAGCCTCTCGCCTCAGCATCAATTCGAGAGCTTACTTCAATTTCACAACGCCGCAATTGGCGGAGTGCTTTTCTAAAACGTTCCATGTACGATGCTTTGCGCTATTGTGGTTTAACGTCCCTTCTTAGGGTCACGCATTCGTTGATGAGAAAGGAGAGGTATTCCGTGCTGTGGTCTGCCTAGCGCCATATCAAAAGGTTCCGCGCCCAGGCCTTGCGCAGGATAAGAAAACAAACACAATGGAGACTGGTGAGGCTCGAAAATTAAGAATTTTCAAGCCTTTATTCGATAGATCCGCTTTTTTTGGAATTTTTGCAACTGCAAAATGAGCCAAAGCCTCCACAGGAGGCTGTTCGAATTGGCCCCTCCGATGGCATTTCTCCCTTGGTTAAACACATTCAAGAAAAACGGCGATTAAAGGAAGAACGGATCGCTCAAGCAGTTGAACGTAAAAGAAAAGCAAGGGAGAACGCAAAAGCAACAAAGAAAATGAAAGCTCCTGAATCTTCAAAATCTAAAAGATCAAGAAAAGGAGACGCACCGAAATCTGAATGGCGGAAAAAATCACGTGGGGATAAAAAAGAAATTTCTGAAGAAACAAAATCGAAAGCTGGTGAGTAACGTCTGCTCGGCTTCTCTCCCGTTTCATTTTCCGCTTTCCAGAGAAGACACAGAAACAGCCACCAGCTCTGGTGAAGGTAGGCTCCCGCGTTGTGGCTGTTCAGCGCTTGCTTCTACTACAGATTCTAGAACGCCCTGCGTCAGCTCAAGCTCCACAACGCTCCCCAGATTTGGAAAGAGAGCATCCCCAAGGCTCACCCTCTGCTCCAAAGTACAGACCGAAGAAGCCTAGATTCCTAGATACAGATTCAACACGGCATTCACGAAGAGGGCGCCCCTCTCACGAAGTGTGGCGGCCAACAATTTTGAAGAACTTGAGCAATGAAAATCAACGAGGAGAATCCCAACAGCAAAATGGGTGATTCTGTTTCTGGATCATGGATTGAGTCTTGCCCTCAGGGGGTCTTTTTCATCACGGAGGAGTTTCTCTCTCACACAGTGGAGCCAGCGGTTCATCATTCGCCAATTTAACGTCTTGAATCTTATTCATGCCACGTTTCAAGAAGTTTGCAACTGAAACTCATCAAAGTAGGCAAATAAAACTAATTCACGTTCTACAGTAGGGCGAAACATCATACTCGTCGTAGATTCGTTCTCCGTAAATCATTTCGTAATCTTTTTTCGCATCGGATGTCCGAATGCGAGCCGGTTCCACTTTGATATTCGTTTTTGCTGCGATTCTTCTTATATTAGTTCGGTCTCCTATCATTCTTGAGAGCCTGTAATGCGTCGTCCATAAATCCTATGAGTGACGTTGAATAGATTCAAAAAAAAGTTGTTCTTGCCTCTTTATTCATTTTTGGAACGATTCGTTCTAACAACGCTGACATCAACGTGAGCCAGGCCAAGCTTCTCATGACACCCCGATCAATCTGAGGGCCGATTCGATCAACAATGACTCTAACGGGAATGGTTCAAAGTTTGTTATCCATGCTTGACATACCTTCTGAATTTGTTACAATCAGACATACTCCTGAATTCAATCGAGTCCAGTGGGCTAGCGATGTTCGGATCGGCGATCTCCGGCTTCATACTCCTGAATTCAATCGAGTCCAGTGGGCTAGCGATATTCGGATCGGCGATCTCCGGCTTGCTTTGTTCCTTAATTCGTCTTCCAAAAATTTGAGCGGATCTCATATTTGAAAATCTGTAGTCAAGCGTTTGAAGATCCTAGAAAAGTCAGAAAGGTAAAATTAGGGAAGAAAGGAAGATCATCATCACCCCGATATCCATTCTGAAACCGATGTCTGTCAGCAATAGCGACATGAAGGTGCGCCATTCGAAGCTCTTCACATTTCCCATCTCAATTTTTGGCGCGATTATTCGCATGACAATTCTAAAAATATGATTTGTTTCGAGTGCAAAGTGTTGTTCGCACCGCTTGAATCTGAAGCAATCAGACGATTTTCTGAATTCAATAAAATCCCATGGAGTGCAAGCAGCCAAGTGTTCTCCACTGTTCGAGTCACCTCCAGGAGGGACACCTCTGAGTGCTTTTTTGGTCTCTTCCTCCGCCTCCGCCTCATCAAATAAGTCCTCCCAGCTACTGACGAGAGCCATCAATGCGACAATCTCGGTGCGTGTCTGTTAATAACCATGGGCCTGTCGCCAAACGCATGTATGTCCCTGCATGCTTCGCTATCATCACTTTTTATCATCCACGATGCGAGCAATCAGTTTCTTTTTCATTTGTGTCGCCATTTTTAATGGTGCCAACGGAGTTGACTACAAAGACAAATTTGACTACAAACCCCTGGCTTGTACTAAGGGCGGTAAGTTTTTTTGTTGGCGACCCCTTTTCATTCCTTTCTCAGCTGGAAATTGTGATTACATACCTAACAATATTCTCCAACTCCAAGCTTGCGGTAATCGCGACAACGATACTCGCGTATTCGTCTTTCTTCGTCTTTAGGAACAGCCGGCAATTTGAAGGGCGAAGACGCGAATGTCGTTTTCCTCTGCAACGCACAGGAAAATATAACCGCTTGCGATGCGGCTTCCACAAACAAGATGAAATGCGAATGGGTTGATCTTCATGAACTTCCTGTACTTGGGAATGGAGCCTGTGTTCCCGAAGCATTGTCGGCCAATGGTGAGTGTTTCTTGAATAGATGCCTCACTACGTCGCTTCCCCGTGCAGCGGACATGGGAATGGTTGTCTACGTTCAACGTCTGAAAGCTGAGTATAATTTGAAGGACGAGCAGATCCCTAATGGACCTGTAGTTAATGATTGCCAAAAGTATACGTTCAATCAAGCGGAGTGCGTAAAGAACCAAGACCGTCTGGGTCGCAAATGTGCCTGGTGCAGTGGATTAAAGCCCGATCAGATTTTGTCTGGATTGAATCCACCAGCTACGGGGATCTGTATTCAACAAGCTTTCGTCGATGGAATAGATGCTTGTAAGGAATTAGGCAAAGATATGAAGCCGTGTTCTGGAGGTGAACCAACAACATCTGAGACGCCAAAGCCCGAATCCGAAACTCCAAAAACCGAATCCGAAACTCCAAAAACTGCGAGTGAAGGCAACGATCCTTCCACTCCTTCTTCAGCTTTTATTGCTCCTGTAGCTTCTGGGCTGTTTTTTGTTTCCGCTGTAGTTTTTTGAATTCAGTATTTTTGATTGGTTTTCTTCAATCTTTGTTTTTCGTCATCTATCCACGCCCATAATTAATTGCAGTTAATTGAGGCAAACAATCATCGGTTGTCGAAATCGTATTTGTGAGGAACCAAATTCGCGCTGCTTTCCATATTTTCCGGTCAGATGTTGATCTTCTTGACTTCACACAACGCCGTTAAATTTATGGATAAATTAATTTTTTGGATGTTTTGTTTGCAATGAAGCACAAGACGGGAAACAGTTAGCAAAACTTTCGAAGTCAAGTGAATGAAAATTTCTACATGAAATCAGCGTCGTCGTAATCTGACTCTGAGTACTCGTCGCCACTCCGCTCTCCGTAAAGCATCTCATACTCTTGCTTTGAGTTTGCGATTTGATTTCGGCTGTTTTCTGTGATTTTCACTTTGGCCTGTGCTGCAATCTTCTTCGCAGCGACCTGATCGGATGTCATCTTGCTAAGTTTATTTTGTAGCGTTTTGAGGTCCTGAACAGATTAATAAAATTGACAGATTCACAAAAGTCGCATATAGAATTACCTTTTCATCCATTTTGGGAACCACGTGTTCAAGCAATCCTGTCACAAATGTAAGCCAAGCAGGGCTCTTCGCGATCCCGGCGTCAATTTTTGGGCCAAGCATTTCCAAGAATTTGTTACAATCAGCAAGATTTTTGAACTGAATCGAATCTATTGGGTTGACGTTCGGCACACTTGGAGCAATACGAGCCAGCTTCGCCTTCGGTATTGCAGCTTGGGCCTGAAAACACAGCGCTGTCAGTCATTGGGACAACTAAGGACGTACAATCGCTTCCTCAGTCAACTCGCATCCATCCAAGAGGTCACCGAATAATTGGGCGTCTTGTTGTCTAATAAGTCTGTGAAGAGGAACAAGAATATTCCAGCGTCCGCGAACCCTCCACCTACTCATCACGCCTCTTCCGTTCTTCAACTGGATCATTTAATGGCGTTGAATGATCTTCACCTGCTAAGACACGGCGTTTTGTAGTCACTTGGTCTGTAGCTTTATTGGAGGAGGGCTGTTGAGGAGGTGGTGCTTTTTTTGACTCCTCCTCCTCTTTGTCAAATAAGGCCTCCCAGTCATCATCACCTACAATTAACCAGTGATGATGAGTCTATGCCTATTGACCTACTCATCTGCGCAAGAGATTGATGCTGGCCTTTTGGAAGAGTGCCTGATGCCGCAGTAGTCACTGGTAACATGCGATGCAGATAACAATGATCTTTGCAAGCTTCGCGATTTTTGTAGCTTTTCTGGTTTCTGACGCCCGAGCAATAGATTGCTCCATGGCCAGATTTTCAAGGGTGGAAAATTCAACAGAGACTCAAAATCAATCAACCACCACATTTCGGTATACAACTGTTTGCCATTGTGCATCTGAACCTCTTCCTTCCGATTCTTCTGTTATTATTCCCTCTCGAAAGCGTGTTGTAGGAATCCCCTGTGATTCTGCTGAGGCTCCTTCTTTAGCACTCAATTTCAATCTCTCAGGGTTGATCTCAACGTGCTATCTTCTGGCTGAGAGATGGGAAAGCTATTTTTGGTCTCCGATTCCTGAGATTCGTTTTATTCCATCGCCGCGCTCTCCTTCTGAAAGTCGGTATCAATTTCAGGGTTTTTTAAATGGTGGTTTGCGCTACGAAGATGTTTGTCCACAAGATTGTGAATAGATTTGAACTGGTGCATGAACTAATAAAAGTGTGGCAACTGTCCAGTTTTTTTAAACTTTTCTTAAGACTGAAGCGAGCAGATGTTTCAAGGCGTTTTATTGCCGCCTCTCTGCTTCCTGACAGACGTCGTTGCTGAGCGTGATTGGGAGGCTTCACCTCAGGCGACCCTTCGACGACGTTTCAGTGCCGCAATTCAATTATCACGCTTTCACGGATTTTCAGATGATGGAGTCGCCGAAGCGCTAGAATTTCAGCAGTCTGTCTACCTTGAAAATCCCATACAAGAGCTTTCACCAGAAACGTGGCCCCCTGACTCTGGAGTTGCATCTCTTGTCGGACGACTTCTTGAGCGTCCAGTGGAAGACGCTTATGTTGCATTTCGCGAAGAGTCCCGCTTTTCCCTTCAATTGCATCGTGCTCTAGCGACCATCGAGAGACAGCGATCGTCTGATCCATTTTTTGGGACTTTCCTCCCGTCACACTTGCCCCCGAGCTTCCACATGCGTTGTGACGTTGTTGACTACGAACGTCGGAGACGCCGAAGAGGTTTGGTTTCCATCAATTCAGAACTTTTTTTCGATTCATCAAGAATCCCGAAGTTAAACGATCCATTTCTCGAATTATTCGGCGGATTGTTAGATGGGATGACGGAAAGCAATATACTCGAAATATCGAATCAGTCTCTTCCCAGTGGAATTTCTCCTTTATGGGTCGCTGATAAAATGCGCTGGTTGAATCGATCAGACTTAATTCGGAGATATTCATTATCGACCGGAGCTCGTGCGTTGGCGGGGAATACAATTCCACAAAGCTTCGACGTTCCGAAACTTTCACGAACATTCCCAGTCCATAAATTTGTTCCATCGAAGCGAGATGAAGACGTGTTCGAAGAGAAGGGGATGAAATCAGAGAAGGGGATGAAATCAGATAGGAATTCCTTAACACGGGCCTCTCCACCACGGGTGGCTAATGGTTTCCCATCGATGCCTTTGAGTAGTCTAACGATGACTGTGAGTGCTTCAATGATAGCTGATGGCTACGCAACGACGTATCGTG